AGAGTTTCCCCTTGTATGGCCGTGGCCCCGCCCCCAGCGTGCCCAGCGTGCCCACGTCACTTCCAGGTGATGCGCACGCCGGGGGCAGGGTTCCCCCAGGGCCCGATTCCACCGCGGTGGAAATCGGGCCTCCAAAGCAGGGGTTTCCCCGCCCCCCGGCCCGATTTGGCAGCCCTAGGTTAATGGGATGAGACATCTAATAAGCAGTGTACTAGGACTAAAGGTAAAGGTTTCCCTTGCTCGAAAGCCAGTCAAATCTGACTCTAGGGGGTGGTGCTCATCTCTGTTTCCAAGCTAAAGAGCCAGCACTGTCCGACGACTTTCTCTGTGGTCATGTGGCCGGCATGACTACTTGCAATTTCTTGCTTTTGAACTGCTAGGTTGGCAGGAGCTGGGACCAGAGACGGGAGCTCACCCCGTCACGTGGCACTAGGATTTCAAACTGATGAGCTACAGACCTCCCGGTCTGCAATTCAGCATCTTAACTACTGAGCCATCATGGCTCCAATTGTACTAGGACTAAGTTTATAGAAATCTGAAATAAGGATTGAATATGTAATATGTCCTGTATACCACGCTATAGTTAATAGTCCTTTTCCCTTTATACAGGCCCTTCCTGAACCATTCTGTTATAATATAAACCTTTATATAAATGCCCTCCTGAACATTCTGTTTTACATAGTTTGTGGAATGACAGAAGAGTGGGAGCCTTCCTGACAACCTCAGGCAGGCTGTTCCAGAAGGTGGAGGCCACAATGAGAATGCACATATACAGGAAGGTTTTGATCTTGCCCATGTTCAAGGCCCTAATCAGATGAGAAAAGCTGTTGTGGCAGAGCAAAGGGGGAGAAGTGGTCCTGCAGATATGAAGGTTATTTATATATTTACTTGAATTTCTGTCCCACCTTTCCCCTGTACAGGAGGGCTCAGGGTGGGTCATATCAACCATGAACAACAATAATTCCAACAATTTAAAGTGTTAAAAGATAACTACAAATATAAAACCTACAATCCAGATGGCAATCTACCAATTAATAAGAATTCAAAGAACTACCTGTATAGCAATGCATAGTAATTAATGCCAGGCAGAGCAGGGGAGGCTGATGTAATTAAGGTACCAACTAATTCAATCATAGGCCTGACGGAACAACTCTGTTTTATAGGCCCTGCAGAATGGTAGTAAATTCTGCAGGGCCCTGATCTCACTTGGGAGAGTGTTCCACCATGCTGGAGCCAGAGCCAGAAAGGCTCTGACTCCGGTTGAGGCTAAGCAGATGTCCTTTAGGCCAGGGACTACTAGCAGATGTTGATCTGCTGAGTGTAATGCTCTGCGGGTGGCATACTGGGAGAGATGGTCCTAAAGGTACATTGGCCCCAGACCGCATAGGGCTTTAAAGGTCAATACCATAACCTTGAATTTGATCCAGCCAGTGCAGCTGATGGAGCACAGGTTGAATGTGTGCTCTTTGTGGTGTCCCAGTAAGGACACGTGCTGGTGCATTTTGAACCAGCTGAAGTTTCTGGGTTACTTTCAAGGGCAGCCCTGTATAGAGCGAGTTAGAGCAGTCCAGCTTTGAGGTGACCATCGCATGGATCACCATGGCTAAGTCACTGGGAGAGAGATAGGGAAACAGTTTCTTGACCTGCTGTAGATGGTCAAATGCTGATCTGGCAAGTGCCGTGATTTGGGCCTCTGTTGTAAGCGAGGGTTCCAAGATTACACCCAGTCTCCTCACTGTTGACATAGGCATTAATGACACCCCACCAAGTGTTGGGAGCTTCATTCCCAGATCCATCCCCCCACAACTCAGGCACAGGCCCTTCATCTTTAATGGGTTAAGTTTCAGTTGACTCTGCTTTAGCCAGCCAGCCATGGCCTCCAAAGCCCTGGCCAAAACATTTGGGGTAGTATCTAGATGGCCGCCCATCATCAGATATAGCTTGGTGTCATCAGCATATCGGTGGCAACCCCCTGGACTAGCTGGGCAAGGGGGTGTATATAGATGTTAAATAACATACGGGAGAGGATCGCCCCCTGAGGCATAGGCGTAATCTGCGTGGGGGCGGCGGGGCTTCAGCCCCCGCCGAAATTTTCAGGAAAGTGCTCAGCCTCCCCCGGGAGCCACCCTTGCTCCTAGCAAAGCAATGCCTCTGGCCCAGCCCCAGCCCCCCCCGGGAAATTGGAAAGTCTACACCCTTGCCCTGAGGGACACAGCATACCAAAGGTTAACATGGAGAAACCCTCTCCTCAATCACCACCCGCTGTCCCGGATCATGGAGAAAGGAGACAAGCCATTTCAAGAAAGTATCTCGTATCCCCACATCAGCTCCCATCCACTTCCCTCCCTCAGAGGCAAGATTTTCCCTCCATTTTCTTTCCCTTTTGTGACTGAGCCGCCCTATTTATCTGTTTTCTTATTTTCTTAAGAATCTCTCTCCCACGCTCCCTCCCTCTCTCTCACACACATGTATAATATTTTGGCTGTTTCCTCAGCCCAGGAACCTAAGGGAAGGAACTTATACAACTTAATAATGGCACTCAAGAAGTTTTTATATTCCAAATTGGTATAATATTTTATTCAACATAGAAGGGAAAGGTCAGGTGAAATCAGGGGTCAAATTTCTGAGGTAACTCAGTATAGATAACTGTGGTAAAGTCAGTACGTGCACAGACTTTAGTTCTTATGTTTCAGGCTAATGAGAGTTTCTTAAACTTTTCATGGTGACTTAAATCTTTATCGTGAGAGGCTTTTGTTCAAGTGTTTTCCCCAAACACTTCAGTACATTTTCTTTGAGTGTTCTCTAACTCTTTTGGTTTCCAGAAGGCTAGTGCATTCTATTCAGTTCCCAAACCTCCTCCCTTGAAACACCAGGACCCATTTTGAGTTTTTTACTGACTCTTAAAAAGGTTTCTA